CCAAAGTTGGGAGTTGAATGTGTGGGAGTATAGCTGAAATACGATTGGCCAGAAGTTGTTAATTGCTGAAGCTGTTAGTTAATTATACTCCGCTTTTGTAAATTTGAAATTTTCCGTAATAAAATGTTTTTACAAAAATAAAATCTTTTTTACCAAAAGAAAAGAGGGAAGAGAGAATATAATCTCGTTTAGATGGGGGCATCAAGGAAAGGCTCCTTTGAGGGAGAAACTTTTCAGCTGAGACCTTCATAATATATAGGAGTTGACCAGGCTGGAAGTGGTGGATGGTGGTTGGGGAAAGAGCTTCTAAGGCAGTGGGAACCACATGTACAAAGGCCAGAAGCCCTAAGTAAGGGACGTGTTGGTGTTTTGAGGAAATGAAAGAAGGCTGGTGTGATCAGAGTTGAGAGGATGGGGAAGTAGCCATAGGCCAGATCTTGTAAGACCTTGCAGAGCCTTGTTAAGGATTTTGTCCTTTAATCCAACAGTGATAGAAGGAAGCATTCCATAGAAGGATTTTAAGCAGCTGAGTGATAAGGTCACTTTTGCTTCTTTCAGAGCTCAAGCAGACTGTTTTGTAGAGAATGGTTTTCGTTTGGGGTTGGAGGAGAAGTGAATGTAGAAGTGGAGAGACATTAATTAGGAGGTTATCACACTGGTCCAAGAGATCTGTTGACTTTGGATTAGAGAAGTAATGTTGCAGATGGAGAGAAGAGATACTGACTTGAGAGATATTTGGTCTTGGTGATGATATAGATATGGCGGTTGAAGAAGGGAGGCATCAAAAGTGTTGGATCAATTTCTGCCTGATGCATTTGAATGGATGGAGGTGTAATTGACTAAGATGGAGAAGAATGAAGGAAGAGCAAGTTTTGTGGCAAGAGACTGAGAGTTCAGTCTAGAATATGCTATTCATAAAATTTGCTCCAATTTACACTTTCATCTCTATATATGAGACTACATGAAAGATTTATATTCAGGGGCCTGATATGTATTAGTTTGTGTTTTAGAGAGATTATTCTGATGAGAGTCTGGAGACCAATTAGTTGTTAGTCTATGAGCTCTTTGAATTAGGGAATCTCATCTTAATTGCCTCTGACTTTGTATTTCTGGTATTAGGAGGCAGAGTGCTTGGCACATGGTAGGTACTTAATAAATAATATTAAAAGAATGAATGCTTATAGGTGAGCTATGAGAAGGTCCATGTAGAAGTGGATAGATTCTGGGAAAGTTTCCAAGGTAGATTCAACAGGGCTCAGATGGAGGATGGAAGAGAATTGCTCTCCTTTCCTTGGCCCTTCCTATTAAAGAGCTTTTCAGCAGCTTTGTGATGCTGGCAAGTCTAACTATGGGTGTCCATTGAAAAAACATTCTTAATGTTTTTTTTTTCCCTCAACATTTACATTTTGAAACTCCATAGGTTAGAGATCAGTGAGTTGTAATTATTATAATAGTAGCTTCAAGCTATTTGTAACTCTAGTTCTCTTCTCTCTGCTGACTTCTCAAGCCCAGAACTCTTCTAAGCCTAGCAGCTCTGGTGATGGGGGAAGTTTTAGCAGCAAGAGAAATTTGCAGCCAGGCAGCAATAGTTACTCAGTGTGTAGAAGCTGTCCAGTAGTTGAATAAATTGGATTTACTCATATGCTTTCCATTTTACAAATGGAAAAATAAGCCCTAGAGAGACTTGTCGAGAGGCATGCAACCGGGCAGCGTAAGCCCAGATTTCCCTGATACTGGGCTGGACTTAGTACAGCCGATTTCTTAACAGATTAACCAAATCCATATACTTTCTTCATTTTCACTGATTCCTTATTGCAGAGTGATTATATGTTAGTTTTAATATTGCTTAATGCTTCCTGAGCCTGCTCAGAGGCCCCTGAATATGCTCACTTAGCCGTGACCTTGCTCTTGTGTTGTGCTAATCACTACCAGTTTATATTGCTGTCTATCCTCTGCTTTCAGAATTGTTTGGAATATTGCCTCTCAGAGTCTCTTTCCGTGTTTAACTTCAAAATGATATCTTTCATATTTTCTCCTCGGTTGCCATGACCAGTGTGTACTGAACAATTGGGTCATCTTTGCATGTATCCCATATTTAAGTAGGCTGGCCCTGTAGCGGCAACACCAGACCCTGTGGAATCCAGGCACGTCAGGTTGTCACCTTTCCGCCTTCCTTTGTGTGTGTAGTGAAAGTGTGCGGGCACAAGGGCAGGGTGGGGGTGTACAGCAGAAAAGGGGAGCAGGTCAGGGTTAGGTGAAATAGTTTCAAGGAATATTTTGAGAGAGATAAAGGAAGCTTCTTAAAATTTCATGTTTTCTAGAAGACTTTGAAATTGTATCCAGGGTAAATTTCTTCTTTCTGCTATTTAGTCAGTTGATTCTGGCTCTGATGTTTTAGGACTGGAACGCTTATTCCTGTCTAACAAGCAGCATTCTGTAGTGCTGCATAGTGTTGGTATATATGTATGACGGAATTAACCTGCCCGTATCGGTGAAGACGACGAATGGGAAATGGGTTCTGGAAATCTCAGTCTATATCGTGTTCTTATATGTAGCTCTCTTTTATTATTACCGCTCCATACTCTAGGCACCGTGAGGTGGATATTATTGTACCCATTGTGTAGGTGAGGAAACTGAGGCTTAGGAAGTTTCAATATCTCTCTTAAGGTCACACAGCTAATCGTTGGTGAAGGTGCCCTTCAAACCTAAGCTTTTTTCTGGCTGCAAAGATTATGCTTTTAATAACAACCCCGTTTCCCACATTGTCAGCCATATAAGTAACTCTCTTGTGTTTTCCTTTTCTCCAGTTTCAGAATCCTTTTGGAACATGCAGTTACTGATTAATAAATCTGGTTGCTTAAAACTAACCGAGGCTGAGTGTCTGAGATAGAACTGTCAGTATTTCACAGGAAAAGGTTGTAGGAGGGATGTCAGAGTGGGCAGAGGAGGCTTTCCTCTGACTTCTTATGAAAATACCATTGCCTGTGTTTCTGTACTGAGGTCTTGTTAGGGGCTTCAGAATATCAGGACGTAGCCTTGTATTCCTCAGAGGCAAAGAGGCTTTAAATACTCTGGAATGGAATCAGGAGAAATTCCACAGTTGTGACAATAGCTTAGATGTACGGGAATCACCTTCTCCAGACTTAGGCCCAGGAAGCAGAGAGCGTAACATTCCACAGCTAACTTCTGATTAGTGTTTTTGGCTTCTGATTTTGTTAGCAAACAGCCATGGTTTAACTGTCTTATTGTGAGTTCCAGAATCTAGAGCAAAGGGAAAATAGTAAAGAAACATGAAATGTTAACTTTTGGCCCCATTTTAAATCCTGGGTAGCTTAGATTTTATCTGAGTTCCTTTATGAAAACTGTAACCTGAAATAGACACTCAGCACCCTAAAGAACCTCATTCACATCTGTTTAGGTTTTTTGTTTTGTGTTTATGTAACTCCTTGCCACTGAAAGAAGTGTATGGATTATCTCTGTGTTTATTAGCTTCATGGCAGATCTACTGTGCAAATCTGTGGGGATTTGAAGGGACTTGAAGTTCTTTTTAGAAGATAAATCTGAGCCTCTTGAGAGTATAGCAATAAGAAGGTATTGGGATAAAATTTCAGGCTGAGAACACCACCTGGTGGTCATAAAGAGGACTTGAACCTTCTGTATTTGTAGTTTTCACCATAGTATATGAGTGATAGCTTTGTCCAGAAATTACATTCTTATTTATGATAATTGAGGATTCAGATTTCTAAGAGTAATTTTCTGCAATATGGTTCTAGCATTCCTTCATTAAAACTGCTGTCAAAACTGGCAGGTGAACCAAATCATTGTGTCCAGCAGAACTGAAATCTTGTGTCCTTTGTTGTTCCAAGTGCAGGTCTGGTTTATCTCTGTGGAAAATCAGTTAGTGTCTTTGCACCTCTTTATCACAGTCTCTAGCTTTGACATCATGCTAATTTTACATGGTAAATTTCTGCCTAGCGGAATGATGGAGAAGGAAATATTAGTGATTTTTCAGTAAATCTTTGGCAGACATCATATAAAAGTAAGTCACTTTTATCCTGTATAGGAATTTTGAAGAGGAGTTTGATAATCTTCCAGAGTGATTGTTAGAGTGAGCAAAGTTGGCAAGAGATGGGAAATTATGTAACAGCTTTTTACTGGAATACGTATCTGAGGTTTCTTTTTTATTGCAAGAAGCATCTTTATTATTCGACAGTCTTGAATCCAGATCATTCTGTAGTTGGGTAAAGTAGGGACATCAGCCCAAGGGGAAAGGATCCTATTAAGTTAATCTGGATGCATATTTTATAGGCCTGGTGGGGAGGGGAGGATAAACAAAGTTTTAAATTTCAGGCTGAGCCTTGAGCTGGCATGGCATGTCTGTATCTTTTTTCCTAGTAGGAAAACTGAATCCGGGCCCCACCACCATTGAAAAGTTTCTTGAGGGAATAAATAGAATGTGACATGACTCTGAACTGTTCTCCTGGGATTTTTTTTAAATATAGAAGTAATAGTGTTACAATATTTGCATTTCAACACTCATACTATCAGACACTGTAAAAAACTGCTCCATACACAAATGCCCACATATTATATAATTCCACTGATATGAAATGTCCAGAATTGGCAAATCTACAGAGACAGAAAGTAGATTTGTGGTTGCCAGTGTCTGGGATTGCCGGGGGTTGGGAGGAAACGGGGAGTGCCTGCTGATGGGCTTGAGATTGTGTTTTGGGGTGATGAAAATATTCTGGCATTAGATAGTTTTGATGGTACACCACTGTACGAGTATACTAAAAATCACTGTGTTGCACACTTAAAAAATTTAAAACTTAAAAGAAAGCTAATTCTTGGAGGAATGAACAAAACCAATAAAAAAGGTGATATGGTAACAATTCTATCACTTATGTACTAGCAGCAATGTTGTCTGATAATGTAACTATTCCAGTTTGGGTACTGAATGTTGTTTTAATTTGTTCTTGTCCTTTTCCTGACCTTCACAGGGCCACGATGGGCCTCCTGGAACATTGGTGTGTTCATCTGCATTCGATGTGCTGGAATCCACAGGAATCTCGGGGTGCACATATCCAGGGTAAAATCAGTTAACCTCGACCAGTGGACTCAAGAACAGATTCAGGTATTTACACAGCCCAAGGGTGAGTCAACTGCTTCCACATTTCCATATAAAAGTAGTTCCAGATGAATTTTAGTTCAGTCAAGCTTGGGCACAAATGTGAAGATAAAGGAAAGTTTAGTTATCAAACACTTTATGTTATATTTTAAAATTTTGATCTTTATATTTAAGGTACAAGTTATTCTACTGATGTTTTATCTCCTTCAAAACACAAATATATTTAAGGTACAAGTTACTCTACTGATATCTTACCTCCTTCAAAACACATGGATCCAGGAAGGTATAAAGGGGGCTCTTTGGATTATTTTTTAGGACCCTTGGCATTTGCAGATCTAATGTTTGTAGTTTTAGATATTCACTGAAAAAAAAACCCTCCAACATGCAGACTTATAATAATGTTTTATTACAAAATGCATATATGAATTTTGCTTGCTGTTAGGTTGGTGGGTTGGGAGTGAGACCCTTAAGTTAGTGAGTTCAGCCTGGCCTAAGATCTGCACCTTGTGTGGCTTTGTTGTTCTCTATTCTCTTCCTGCATTGAAACTTGTTAAAGCAATTTAAATATTTTCCCTCCTTTTTTGGGGGGAAAAGAAAGGCTCCAGAGAAAACCAGCTACTAACGTTGGTGATGGAAATAAGAGATTATGTTTAACAGAAAGTGGCTTTAGAAGTTACTTTAGATTATCTATGTATATTACTATCTATATATAGAATTGATAAAGATTCACTAAAGGTCTGAAAGGTTAGTTATATTTTTCAGTTATACGTTATTGTATCTCATGAAGGAAATCGCATGTCATGAGGTATTTGGGAATTTGAAGATTTTTTCTTTAATCTTGGGATTTATCCCTCACAAGTGTTAAGGAGTCTGTTTCAAAAGCCTAGTGGGAAACACGTTTATTGGTAATACAGCTGAATAGGTTAATTACTACTATAAACCCAGAACTGTAGTTATTGCTGATTATTGCCTTCCAAGTAGATATTTTGATTGGCAGCTGTGTGTCTTGGACTTTCAAATAAGATCTTGTCAGACAAATCTTTCAATGAAAGGAAAGAGGGTGGCAAGAAAGACAGCAGTGGGGGCAAATGGTTGGGAGTAGAGGGACTCAGGGACTGGAGATCAGAATACACAGGTTTGAATCTTGGTTCTGCCACTCTCTGGGTTGGTTCTTCAATTGTAGAATGGTGCAATCGGGTGACAAGATTTTCAGTTCTTTCCTGATCTGACATTCTGTGTTTCCACATCTCTTCGATCGCAGTGCATGCAGGAGATGGGGAATGGAAAGGCAAACCGACTTTATGAAGCCTACCTTCCTGAGACCTTTCGGCGACCTCAAATAGACCCGTATCTTTTCTGGAGCAACTTAGAAGTCTGAGTGGTTTTTTGGTGTTTTGAGAGAGTCATGTAAGACTCAAGGCCCACGATCTGTCTGGGTCATCTTTATGTGTGGATTAGTCAAAGTCTTGCCTTTCCTCTCTTCTGCAGCCAAGACACACGGAAAGTACATGTCCACTTTCTCATGTCAGAATGGTGGGGTCCCATGGGAGAAACTCATTCAGGAATTAAGACTGCAGTGATTCACTGTGAATTCTTCCATAGAGTGACATCTCCAATAGTTTTTGGATCTCTGAAACTGTTTGATAAAAAGAATAGTTTATTGTGCTGTGTTGAATCAGCAAAACTATTGTTTTTAATGCCTTTTTATGTCCTAGCTGAAAGAATTAATTATTGTTGGCTTAATCAGTAACTTTCTTCCTCTACCCCTCAATAGGAGAGAGCGCCCCCTCACAAAACCAGACCCCCTGAAGGCACCACTTCGTGGACTGTGGTTTGTGGGCCCTCTTGTCAGAGTTGGCTTTTGGGTGGGTGAAGGTGGAAGCTGTTAAAATTCAGATTTGGTGCCCTGAGGGAGACCCACTGGTCAGAACCTGGTATAAGAGTTTATATTTTTAAGGGGCACCCAAGTACCTTTGTTTTAGATCTGCTTTAAAATGGATGATTGACTGCTTTGCCTGTATTCTAGAACAGCCACAGTCTCCACTGATGTCAAAGTGAAGGTTAATCCCATTTGCTACTATCATTACTCTGGAGGAAAACCCTAGGTAATGGTGATTCCCTGCAGTAACCAGGAAGGAGGCACTTTAAGGTTGCAGTCAGGGAAACTGCATGTGAGGAGACAGGAGCCATATGCAGACACCAGGCAGGAGGGAGAGAGGAGAGCAGTGCTCCACGGGATGCACCCTGACCTTTTATGTTCATACTGGGAGAAAGATTCATTTGATTTATCCTTAATAAGCTTTTTGCAGGGCTGTTGAAGGATTTATTCGAGATAAATATGAGAAGAAGAAATACATGGACCGAAGTCTGGACATCAATGCTTTTAGGGTTGGTTGTCAATCTTTCAAACTTCGTTCATAATAAGTCATTTGATTATTAATCAGGCCAGGGAAGAATTTGAAGAAAAGCTACCAAAATAGTCCACAACCATCAAAAAGGAAAAAAAAGTAGAGAAAAAGGTCAATTACTGAATTGAGACCATGGGATATCATGGGACAAACTTTTGCCTCAGGGATGGACAGGGTAAACCATCATCAGTGAGTTCTTTGCCTTGATCTGGATTTGGGTGTTAGTGATTCCCAGTTCCAGATTATTTCTTCAAATGGACACGCTGGGTCTACTAGATCCAATAGAATAATGTCTGTGTGTAGGTATGTGTGTATGCAGATATACGTGTGTATGGGCATTTTTTCCTGTAAATGAAGTCAACAAAATTGGATGTAATTAAATCACCAGAGTTTCCTTCAGTCTGACCAGCGTATATTTCCATTGTGTTGATGGACTGATGGCCAACGGGACCCTTGTTCCTGGAAAGGGTTTTAGGAGTCTTACTAGTTGCCAAGTATACCTTCCATCCTAGGCCTGTGGTTAGGATCTGAATTATAGTGTGTGGTAACTAGGGCAAGCATAACATACAGGGGGAGGTACAACGTGGTTTCCAGGAGAAGAAAATATGCCCGACTAATGACAACTAAAGGAGAACCAATAAATATGACTGTTTAGACCTTTAGAAAGCCTTTGGCAAGATTCTACAGTAAATTTGCTTTGGAATAGCTGACTGTCCCTCTCGCCATGGAAGTATGGAGAAAATGGGATTCTCTAGTTCTAGCACAGGACCCATCTATCTGTCTATCTGCTATTTATTTAGTTATTTCACTATTTATATCCTGACTGTGGGCCAGGGATTTTTTTTGAATTGAAGTATAATCAGTTTACAATGGTGTGTCCATTTTTGGTGTACAGCATAATGCTTCAGTCATACATACACATACATATACTCATTCATATTCTTTTTCATTATAGGTTACTACAAGATATTAAATATAGTTCCCTGTGCTATACAGTATAAACTTATTATTTATCTGTTTTATATATAGTAGTATTATATATAGTATCTGTAAATCTCAAACTCCCAATTTATCCCTTCCCACCACCTTCCCCCTCTGTTACTTATTTTAATGGAGGATGTCCTAGCCAGTGAAATAATTTAAGCTTACATGGGGCTCTAAGCCCTTCCAGGTAATTTAAAGTCAAGCTAATTGGAATCAGCTCCAGACTGATCTTTTGAGCTTGTATAAAAAGGGGCACTACTGGAAGGTGAATTTCAATGTAAGCAAGTAAGTGAAGGGTAATATGTGTAGTTGGGTAAAGATAATTACTACTCAACTTAGTGTGAAGAACTCTTACAGCCATCCAGAAAAGGGACCTAGGAGTTACTGTAACTGTTCCAAGAAAAAGTTAACACAGGGTACAGCTACAGCTTGGATAATATCATCAAAAAGTGTTTGAAACCAAAGCATAAACATTTCCTTTTATTGTAGAAAACTATGGTCTGTCTGCTTAGCTCTGTTCATGGTGCCAGAACATAAGAAATCAGATGAGGTCAGAAAGGGTATCGGAGCTAATCCAGAAGATGAGAGAAGAGGGAAGAGTTGCTGTGTGGAGATAGTGTTCATTGGTAATTATGTTGCTGGTGTCCTGTACCCATGAAAACAGCCTGTTTTACTGAATGTTTTCTCTTAGGAAGGAAATATTTCTGATGTGCCAAAGAGCTACTTTACAAATTTTTATTTGACTTGGCAAAAAAGAATTTTTTTTAATTTGATGTACCTAAATTAAAAAAATATATGTTTGTGAAGATTTATATGCCAAGAATTAGTATTTGCTAAGTGAAAACATTTAATATCAAGTAAAAAAGAAACTGGCTTTGTCAATTGAGGAGTATTCTTTTTAAATGGACAGATAAAACATTTTAACTACAAGAATAAATAGTGTTCTGTGTTAAAGCGTCACACTATGTATGAAACAGACATGGCTGCATGTGTACTTTGTGATTATAATATCACTTTACAGATAATATGATAATTAAAGTGGAAAATCCATGCCTGCTCTTACCTTTACTAATGATTATCATCTTGGAGTTCCCTTTTCTTTTCTATGTCGTTTCTTTTTTGTTTTTTTTTTCGTAAAGTGAAAGCAAATTTATTTAGAGAGATACACACTCCATAGACAGAGTGTAGTCAGTTCATCTCACTCAAAAGGGAAAGTGGCTTAGTAGATACACACTTTATAGGCAGAATGCGGGCCATCTCAAAAGGCGAGAGGGAGAGAGGCTGAGAGGTGTAGGGGTGTTTAGAGTAAAAGCAGATACAAACTCCACAGACAGAATGCTGGCTGTCTCAGAAGGCAAGAGAGCGAGCGACTTATGTAGTTACTTTTTGAAGATGTAATTATAATACAATTATATAGAATGACCCCTGCTTTCATTCGACTTAACACATCTTGGGTTGATTTTTTTTTTAATGTTACTTTTTAGTTTTCACAACTTATAATTGTTGCATCTTACTCAGTAAGGAGCTACGTCACAGTTTATTTCACTATTCTCTGTGGCATAAAGGTTGTTTATAAATTTTTCTTCAGCGTAAATAATTCTGGGATGAAATTCTTGATGTATATAACCTTTTCCATGTTTTGGATTGTTTTCTTAAGATATATTACAAAATATGGTGTTATCTAAGTCAAAGGGTTTCATTATTTGTCTCTTCATACTTTTGCCAATATACTTTCCAGAAGCTGTACTACTTTATACCGTCTTCTCAGCATAGGGGAAGAGTAGTAGTTTTACACCATCCCTACCAACATTCGGTATTATTATGAAGATCTTTCTCCTCCCCGAAATGCATTTTAAATTTCACTTTTTGACCATTAGCAGGGCTGAACATTTTTTTATATGTATACTGTACTTCCTTTTATATGCCTGTGTTCTTGTTCACTTTGTGATTCTGTTTTGCATTTAGATGTTTATTTGATGTTAGAAATGTGACCAGTAACAATAATCTCTAAGAGTATTATTAAACGGCCTCTGAAACTAACACAAACTAAGAAAGACCTTCCAATATCTTATTTTTGATGTGCTTTTTGGTTCTATGTAGGTGACATTCAGGACACCCTAATAGGGATACTTTAAACCTTTTAGTCATTTTTGCCTTATTTTCCTGGTTTTTGTTTTTCTAATCTTTAAGCTTGAAATTGTGGTTTATTTTCTAATTTTTAAAAAAGGAGAGATGAAGAGTGAAAGGAGTTTTGACTGAGTTCGTAAAATCACAGAGGATGTATGCCGAGTAAGATGAGCATGAACTTAATCACTTACAGTGGTACCAAGATGAGCAAGTTAAACTTGGGTTGAAAAGGGGCAGCCAACTGATGACACATTTTATCCTCTGTAGATAACCGAGTCTGCACATGGCAAGAGTCATAAGTGGGTTAGAACGAGGAGGGCAGGTGCTTAAGACATTTGAGGGATGCCTCTTACAGCCTTGAGGCCAGAGCGGAGGAGGCCAGCTCTCACGCCCCACACCGAGAAACCCCCGAGTGTGTCAGACCCCTGCATCAGACTCAGTAGGGATTTTTGCGTCCTTTCGGGACATTTGGAGTTATAATTGGTTGAACTCTTAGTCACCACGGGGCCTGTTCTTTGTCTTGTTTTGTTAAATCATCATAGAAAGAAAAAGATGACAAGTGGAAAAGAGGGAGCGAACCAGCTTCAGAGAAAAAAATGGAACCTGTTGTTTTTGAGAAAGTTAAAATGGTAAGTGGGGAAGTATTTGCACTGTGTGGATGGCCCCGGGTATCTTTACATGTGTGGAGGGAAGGGGAGGGGTGGGGTGGGAGGTGGTTGATAGCACCCTGCACCGTTGCACCTGGGACTAAAGGGGTCCACATTTAGATGAGATCACCTGCTGCCGTCTCTGCTGCTTTCCCATTGCCTTGTTGCTGTCTTCTCTGCTCTGTAACACTTCCTTTTGGGGCCAGATGGGAGCTTAGGGGCTGCATCTGTCCCATCTGAGGGAGAGGCACGTTTCATGCCAGAATGCCAAGGCTGTGCGACGCCTTCTGAGCAGATGCTGCATTCGTCCTTCTCTCCTTAGACCGTCTGTGCTTCATTTTCCTGTTGCAGTGAAGAACAGTCTAGAAGCCAGGCCATACGAATCCATTTCCAGCAGTCCCTGCTTATACTCTTGCTCTGTCATACTGAAGTAGACACCTTTGTTTATCCACAGGACGTATGGTGGCTGTGCTAGTAGAGACTCTGATATAGGGGTTTGGAATCTTGGGAAGGAGGGCTTTTTACTATTTGCTTGAGTAAGAGTCCTTTATCATCATTCTGAATCTCACTGTCTGCAGAACACAGTCATTAGTGATACTGGCAGAGTGAATTAGGTAGCCTTTAAACTGAGCTCCCTGTTGATATTAAAGGTTTTCTAATCACTGGAAGATGTGTTGGCTCTTGGCTGTTGAACCATCAGACACCTACCTTTATTCTTAGCTTTTCCTGGGACCAAAAACTGCTGCTTCTGTTGGATACCCTGATCTGTGGTTGTCTTGGTTTCAGAAAGATCTGTTTCTTTAAAAAGGGGGGCGGGGTAGTGTATAGCTCAGTAGTAGAGCGCATGCTTAGCATGCATGAGGACCCAGGTTCAATCCCCAGTACTTCCATTAAAATAAATAAATAAACCTAATTAACCCCCATATATATATATACACATATAAAAGAAAGATCTCTCTCTTCAGAAAGCCAAACAAACACAATAGCTCTGTTTTTTCACTTTAGGTTTGATTTATACACTGGGTCTCCTGACACGTGACACTTCCTGCGTTGTGTTTCTTTCGTAACCCTCTTTGAATAACAGCAACTGTGCTACAAGCGTACCTGTGGCTTTACGATGGGGAGCAGGGAAAATGTTCAAAAACACCCACTTATTTCTCTCTATAACATTTTTTTCACCTTAGCCACAGAAAAAGGAAGATCCACAGCTACCTCGGAAAAGCTCCCCGAAATCCACAGCCCCTGTCATGGACTTGTTGGGCCTTGGTAAGAGTTGGACTTTCCCACTCTCATAAGTTTATGAATTTTGATGAATCCTCCGTGGCCCTGGGAAGAGAGGTCGAGATGGGGTTCTTCAGTTGGTGTCTTCATCACTGAGATCGCACCCTCATGTTCTTCCTGTTCTATATCCGAGCAGCTGTTCTCAGAAGCGTTGATATTTTTCAGGGGAACAGTACGGTGACAGTCAGGAGTAGTGGTTAAGTATAGTAGTGGTTACGCATGGGCGTGGCAGCCAAGCCCTACTCCGCCACTTACCATCTATGTGACCTTGGGTAGCTTACTTAACCTCTAAACGTTCCTTTCCTAACCTGTGCAGCAAGGATGATGTGTCTCTACATCAGAAGTGGTGTTGGAAGGATTAAATGAGACAATGCCTCTCAAGCTCTGAGTTCCTTGCCCCGTACATGCTCAGTGTTCAGTAAACGTTAGCAGGTTTCACTAAACTAGCGCCTGTCAGCCCTGCCCCCCCTTCTCCCCCTAGTGCCCTCTCATTTTCCAGGTGCAGCCTCTTTCTAAGATGGCTCGTTACCTTGTGGTCATTTTCCTCCAAACTTCTGAAACCCTGAACTCGTGGTTCTGCCCCTTCCATAAACAGAGCTTGTTCTTACCTTTCCCAGCACTGATGGCTGTACTCGTTTCAGGCCATTTCTGCTGATTTAGGTTATTGGGTACTTAAGCTTCTAATGTCAGTGCTGTTCATTTCTCTCTGAAAATGAATCCTGCACAGCTTTGCCCCTCAGATAGCCTCGCGGTAGTGCTGATGTAGCCTTCAAGCCTGGGTTTCTGCTGCCCGGTGCCTGGAAGCTGGGCTGCAGGCTTCTCCAGAGTGTTCTGGGCAATGTGGGGTAAGGCCTCTCATGAAATGCCCCATCCAAGCTACATGTTCCAGAGCCTAGACTTCTCCATATGATGGAGCATAAGGGGCTTCTCTGCTTTTTGTCTAGAATGGAAGGCAGGCATGGGCTTAATGAGCAGTGCTACGTTTTAACTTTGCTCTCTCTTTCCAGATGCTCCTGTGTCCTGCTCCACTGCAAACAGTAAGACCAGCAACACCCTAGAGAAGGATTTAGACCTCTTGGCCTCTGTTCCATCTCCCTCTTCTTCGGTTTCCAGAAAGGTGAGTGTTGTGGGCTCCTTGGGATTAAAGAGCATTCTGGAAAGGGTGATTTTGATAACTCAATCATGGAACCACATCACGCTTCCTTGATGGAACTGGACTTTGGTTTTCTTGATTCTTTCCTACACGCTGCATCATCTCTGTTACAGGCTAAGACAACTATTCATTCCATTTGTCTCCTGCCCGAAAAGAGTGGGCCCTTTGAGTGGGCTTCTGCTGAAGGTGTGTCAGGTTGTAAAGGCTGATCCCGTAGGTCAGCTCCTCAGCCTGAGTTATTATTGCCAGAGAGTTTGTAGGTAGGAAAGACATGAAACCTTTGATGGCTGCCATTTGTGGAATACCTACTATGTTCCGGGCACAGTGCTACATGATTTTGTATCTCATTTTGTATGCTTCATTTATGACTTAAAATACTCACAACCCTGCAAAATGGAGCTTTTACAGATGAGGAAACATTAGTTCAGAAAAGTGACTACCCTCTTGTTACCCAACTAGTAAATGACTGCACTGGGATCTTAACTCAGTTCTCCCTGGCTGCATCCTTTGTAGGTCATTTTTATTTGTTTGTGTGTTTGTTTTCCACCAAATGACACTGTTTTGCTAAAGGACAAAGCAGTGTGTACCAGAGCTTAACTATCAGGTGTCTCTAGATATTTGTATGGAAAAAATGTCAGGAAGCTATGAACTCGAGCCCTGAATTCTTATTGTAATGTTAGAAGTGGCAGAGAGATGAGGGAAGTCCTTCCAGAGACTATGCCAATTGTCCCCCTGCCCTCTTTGCTCTGTCTAAGGTTGTAGGTTCCATGCCAACTGCAGGGAGTGCCGGCTCCGTTCCTGAAAACCTGAACCTATTTCCAGAGCCAGGGAGCAAATCTGAAGAAACAGGCAAGAAACAGCTCTCTAAAGATTCCATCCTTTCACTGTATGGATCCCAGACGCCTCAGATGCCTGCCCAAGGTAGAGCTCGTGGGGGTCATGGCCACGTGCCAGAGAGAGACTTGAGGACTTACATGCAGGAATTTTTTGTTACGATGGGGCAGTTGCTTTGGGGGCCAGACAAGCCTGGACGTGACATTTCTTGTGAAGCCACCAGGTATCAGGAGATGGAAGTGTAACTCAGAGCCATATTTCCATGGGGTCTGGTGTCACACGTCTGTCAAGTCTGACTTGGTCTGGATCTGGACCCTAAAAGGGAAGTGGCTAGGATAGCAGCCCATTGGAAACCATAGCAAGTCTTTTCATTTTTTTTCCAATTATTAGATGGCTTTTTTTTAAATTGAAGTATAGTCAGTTTACAATGTTGTGTCAATTTCTGGTGCACAGCGTAATAGTTCAGTCATACATATACACATACTCATTTTTATATTCTTTTTTGTTATTAGTTACTACAGGATAGAGTATAGTTCCCTGTGCTCATAGCAAGTCTTTTAGGGACTCTATCTAACCGTTTTGCTGTGTAAAAGAGTATTCTGAGTTGAGCTGTCCTGAGAAATTCTAGCTGGAAAGGAGCAGCCGCTGAGAGTTTGAACTGACCTTACACACGCTCCTCTTTAACAGACGTGTATGTTTGTTTTCTTGGCAGCAATGTTCATGGCTCCTGCTCAGATGGCGTATCCCACAGCCTACCCCAGCTTCCCTGGAGTTCCCCCTCCTAGCAGCATCATGGGGAGCATGATGCCCCCCACAGTGGGCATGGTGGCCCAGCCAGGAGCTTCTGGGATGGTTGCCCCCATGGCCATGCCTGCAGGCTACATGGGCGGCATGCAGGCGTCCATGATGGGTGTGCCAAATGGGATGATGACCACCCCGCAGGCCGGCTACATGGCAGGCATGGCAGCTCTGCCCCCGACGATGTACGGGGTCCAGCCGGCTCAGCAGCTGCAGTGGAACCTCACTCAGGTGAGAGCTGCTCCCCTTCACTTGGGACGAGCGTTTTGTGCCTCCTTCAGGGCTGTCTCGCTTAGCGTCTCTCCCTTATCCTTTGAATCCTTAACAGTATAAATGAAATATCGCCAGAGACATCCTGAGGTTTGCTTTTTTTTTTTTTTGATAAAAATTCTATCTAATGTCAGACTTTTTGCTTTTTGAGGAGTTTTGAGTTCCGGTAGAATAAGGGTAACTGCCTAATTCTAAAACTCTCCACACATTCATCAAAACAAAACAAAAACAGCCCATACAGATAAATAAGGAGAGCAAATTAAAGCACCTATAATCTGTGACTCCTGCATCTGACAGACTGAATACTGCAAATATCAGATTACGTGGCAGCAGGCATATCAACACCCAAATCCAGCAGAGCCAGCATCACAGAGAGACTGTGTGAAGTGAGGAGAGGGAGCAGGGGGCTGGAGGTGATAGAACATAGATATAATCACCCCTAGAAAGGAAAGCCCTGCCCTGGTTAGAGACATGCTGAAAAGAGGCCTAGGACTTGGTGGTTTAGATCCCCGGTTAACCTGAAGAATCGGAAACAAGGGACTTGAAATATGTGGCATTAAAGGTGGTAGCTTTGGGAAAGCATTGCTTTTAGGGGAGATGAGGATGACTTAGAAGGAGTGGGTGCCCTTTGGAGACCTGGTGCTGAAGGGGAAGTAGGAAATGAGAATGGAAAAGAATTGCAAGATCAGAAGATCCATCATCCTCCTCCCCACCAAATAGTCATTTCACTATGTTAACAGAAGAGGGCGCTTTTGAACTAAGAAACCTAGGAAGTCTCCCCAGACCCTCTCACCTGTCTGTATTATTGGTGACTCAGAAAAATAAGGCGGTACAAACTGAACAGAAAGTGGCAGGTGACATTCATACAAAACTACTATGAATTGAAAATAGAAAATGAAAATCAAAACATTTCACCCCCAAAACCAGTCACAAAGTAGATGAAAACTTACATAGTCCACCAACCTGAATTAAATGTCCTTTAACAAACACTTGCAGATAAGACAAAACAGCTTGAATCAGAAATTCAAAAGCTTAGAACCAAAATGGACCAAAAAAAATGGAAGTTGTGAAACTGAACTCAGGAAACAAACTGAAAAATGACACAATTGTCTTAGAAATAAAAGCTGAATTACAAGTTAGTCAAAGAACAGTAGATTCAGCTGAGAATATATTTGACATTAAGGAAAGACATGAAACAGCTCAAGAGAATAAAAACTAAATATAGAGAGCAGTAAAAAAGAATCAGAGAGAAGGTAACACACAAGTTAGGCAAAGAAGACCTAACATAAATGTATTTGGAGACTCCCAAAGTAGGAAGACAAAGTAGTGGAACAAAATTAACATATTTAAAACTAACACAGGAACACATCCTAGAATTAAAGACTCGACTATAATATTGAAAGAGCCCACTGGGTATCTGGAAAAGCTGACCCAGAATGGTCAACTCCAACATATCCCAGTGAACCTTTAGACTTCATGGAACAAGAAGAATTCTCAGGGCTCCAACCCTCTCCTTACCTGCCACCTCCCCCAAATCTGTCATTTACAAAGAAAAAAGAACGCCTAGGTTGACGGACTTCCTAACAGCAACATACAAAAAGACAGCAATGGGGGTAGAATTTTCTAGACACTCAAGTACATGTGAGACAAATGTTTTATAATCAGCCAAGCGATCCTTCAGGTATCAAGGCTATTTTAAAAAATCTTAAATATACAAGGGAATCTTAAATCTTAAATATACATCAGGGAATATCACACTTAGAAGCTTTCCTGAGGAATCTACCAGAAGATAAGCTTCATCCATCTGAGAGATGACTGGGGACATTTTGGCAAAATGACTGCTGGTGATTGTTTAATTGAGGATCTAAGACTCAAAGATAATGACAAGAGTGGAAGAATATATGTTGCATTCTGACGACAGAAGCAATACAACTAAAAATGGTGGGAGGAATAAGGTGGAAAAAAAGGGGAACGTAGAATAAATTGATTATTGCACGGGAAATAGAAGTCAAAGGGTGTAATAAGCTGACAAACCACATAGTAGAAGCGTGAGTGCAGAATACAGAGACCAAAGACAGAGTATTAGTATAACAGTAATCACTAGAACAAAAACAGGATGCTTGATAAATACCAAAGGAATTTTTAAACAGCAATAGAATACATAGGCTGAGGGACAGCCAATATAATAAACACAATTAAAATGTAATACAATAGAATTGCAACCAAACATCATTCATATAAATAGGTATCTCTTCTATTAAAAGAAACAGTTGTTCAGACTGATACACAAAGCAATGCCTAATTTTATGCTAGGTAGAAAAAGTACAGCTGAAACAAAATGATTCAAAGTCTGGAAATAAAGAGACAGGGGAACACCAGACAAGCAGCATGTGTGCGCCCACACGCACACACACATGTGCTGTGTCTATCGGGGTTGGGTATCAATGGTGTACTTGCTTTAGGAAAAGTATTCGCATGTTTTCCTTTTGCTGTGGTTTGGGATGATTTATGTAGTCTTGGTCTTTGGAGATGATTTTTTAAAAGTTCCTATTTCAAGGGTTATTTCTCCCTTGTCATCTCTTATTTCGTATCTTTGTGCTCTCCTTCTCCCTTCTCATTTATTATTTTTTTCAATCAGGCTAACTAGTGATCTATTTTGTTAATTTTTTCAAAAAAAAGGTTTTGTTTTAGTTTTTAGTTCTACATTTTTCTGTTCTCTACCTCAGTTTCTGGTTTATTTTTACTATTTCCTTCCATGTGCTTTCTTTTGATTTACTTTGCTCTTGTTTTTCTAGCTTTCATAGTTGGAGTTTTAACTTACTTATTTTCATTCCTTCATGTTCATTCATATGCGTAGTGGGGTGCTGCAAAACTGATGGGAATGTGTCAAAAGGACACGTGAGCCATCTTCTGGAGGCTCCCACTGTCTAAATATGGGGCAATTTGAACATCAAAAAGAATGACACTAATGGGTTATATATAACACATTGAAGGAAAAAAATCCATAAGTCTGTAGTAATTTTTTTTTAAGCGAGTGTGGGGTAGAGGAAGGGAAAGCCTTCTTTGCAAAAGAATGACAACTTATGTCATAGAAAGGACAAGGTATTCACACATTCTCAAAGAAATACCTTTCAGATTACTCATTAATTACAGTGAAAACATATATGGTGGATACTGCCTTAGACAATTGATCAAACTTTAAATTATCAACGATGGGACACATTAATTTCATGTGCTTCCTGGTGTCCTGTACAATATCTCTTGCATGGAATTCTTGCCAAAAATATTTAACTTGGATCCAATCGTGAGAAAACATGAGATAAGTCTAAATTGAAGGCTTTTCTGCAAAATAACTGGCCTGGACTCTTAAAACAGTGTCTGGAAAAAAAATGAAAAAATGGTAGGGAAACTGTTCCAGATTAAAGGAAGCTAAAGAGATGCAAAAATGAAATGTAATATATATTAGAATATAGTATTAACACTACATATCTGCAATTTTCAGTGCTTATCAAAAAATTTTAAAAACATATATATACATATATCAGAGAGAAAATTAGGAAAATGTTAACAATAGGTGAATTTAAGGAAAGAGATGGGTTTCATTGTACTATTCTTTCAACTTTTCTGTAAATTTGAAATATTCTTTGAAAGTTGGGAGAAGAAAAATAGCCCTTCTCCTACAGGAAAATAAGTTATATAGAAAATGTACCAAGCTTGGGAAATTTAAGGCATTTTTCTCAGATAAATAGGTTCTTCTGTTCATTGCCAGAGGCCAGTCTTTCAGTTGAATTCATAAAGAGGCCCCCACCCGACCCAGGCTTATTCCCCAAACTCTGTTCTCCAAGCAGCTTCCCTTCTCATGCACTGAAGACCTGTTGGACCTGTTGGTCTTTTTTTTTTTTCTTTGTTCATTCTGAACAGCCCAGTTTCTTTTCTCTCTGTTTGAGCGTGCACAGCACTTTCCCTGACACTGTCAGTAGTGACTCTCTGCTGGAGATAAGACAGGAGCGCTGGCCTGGGGGCTCCTCTTTGTTCCCTCCAGTTGGCTCCGGCCCATGTACAATAGCCCCCTTCTTTTCAGGATGAGAGACCGGAAAGGAAAAAGAGAATAACTCCTCATGCCGCTTTTATCTTGACTAGCTCCAGGATTCCTGCTTCCCCTCCCTGAGCATCCGTCCCTGACAACATCTCCCTTCTGAAAAAGTCCTTCATTTACGTGGTCTGCTGTCCTCGAAATGATCTGTGAGGGTTCAGGGCAGTTTTGTATCACAACAGAGTTCCCCTTTGTCTCCCTCTCCCCTCCCCGCAGACCCAGACGGAAGGACTCCTTCCCTGCCCTTTGCTCTGATTGGCTGCATGCCCACTGCCTGGTCTGAAAGTCTCCTCTCTCCCTTCCAGATGACCCAGCAGATGGCTGGGATGAACTTCTGTGGAGCCAATGGCGTGCTGAGCTATGGACAGTCGATGAATGGTGGAAGCGGACAGGCAGCAAGTCAGACTCTCAGCCCTCAGATGTGGAAATAAAAACAAAACACCTGTATGACTCCCACTCCCCTCGGCCCCCTCCCTCCCCGGTTTTCCTCTTTCCCCAACTCCTCCCACCCCACCCCCTGCCCTACCCTTCTCTGTTCGGTTTAGAAATTGCTCAGTCCATCATTTGGGGGTTGGCATTCTGCCCAGCCCAGGCATGTCCCAGACACGCAGCCCTCTCTGTTGCTTTATGTTGTTGTTCATGTCCCCTCGCCGCCCTGACTTCCCCCCAGCCTCAGCCCTGGTCCTCTCCTGGCATCAGCACCTTAGGAATTGTTGACAGAAGGCACTTAAGACTGCAGGATAAACGTGCACACCTTTGAGCACCTTTCCCACAGGGTTAAACCTCCTTTCAGACTCAGAAAGTTCTGTAGGGGTTGTGTCTTAGGCACAGAAGGGAGGGTTTAGAGGTCCTTCTATATGTGTTGATAAGCTATTTCTCTGTGTTTAAATTTTGGGATGAAAAGGAAGGCATCGTGCTCCCTTGATTTATAGGAATGAAGAAAGTACTGAAATAAAATTAAATACTCCTTAGGTCTTAGATCACATTGGCCCTAGCCCTGGGGTGAGGCAAACCTCTTCCTATGAGAATGAGCAAAAATCTGACTCTACTGTGTCCTCATTGCTTTCTGGATCTGAGACTTCAGAACTTGCTGCTTCAGTCAGCCTTTATTAGCACCAAAGACTCTACGAAGGGCCCCCACAAAAACACCCCTTTCCCCATCTCAATCCTGCCTTCAGTAGGATCTGGCTTTGCAGCTGGAAGACCAGCCCCTCCAGTGGGAATGCAGAGCTTAACATGTGTACTAGCGTGTGTGTGTGTGTGTGTGTGTGTGTGTGTGTGTTCGTTCCCCGCCTCCCATTCTCTCCCCATCTGCTCTGGGTATTTTTGTTTTTGTTTTTGTTTTAGCTTTAGGTTTACAACAGAGAGGAGTTAATTTATCAACAGCCTAAAACTGTTGCCAGTTTTTTGTATAGTCTAAAAAAATTACAGTCTCATGGGTAGCTCCCTTCCTCCTTTCCCCTCTCCATCCCACCAGTCACTCTTTCATGCCTGTGTGTCCAGGCTACCCTGTGTCCCCACCTGTTCCAGGTGTGTGAGGCAGAGTGTCTGGGCAGCTTTCCTCTCAGCCACTGTTCACCCCACTCGAAAATTAAAACAAGAAAACTTTGCTTAAAAGATTTCATCTGTGGGAACCACAATTCCTGGTTGCCTTTCTCCTGTGTATGTGTAAATTCCTTAATAAATATCGCAGGGAAGGACGGCTCTCACTGTGTGTCACTCTTGGAGGTGGGTGAGTTCTACCCAGGTTCTCTGCTTTCCAGGGGAAGTTCCCGCACTTTCTGTATTTTAAGAAACTTTGTACAGGGGCCCAGGGCCAGGCCCAGACTCAGGCAGTCAGGAAGGGGGCCTTTGTCCTGTGGTGTCTGAGTTGTGAGGTATCTGTGCCTGCTAGAGTCCTGGAACACCAGAACTAGGAGCACCCCTTTCCTCTCCCAGCTAGAGAAGCTGAGAGCCCCCCTCCCCACCTTCCTTCCTCTGAGTACCCCTTGAGAATCCTTTCAGGTGTAAGTGAGAGGATAGCACAGTGGCTAAGAAAGTCAGCTCTGGATCAGGCTGCCAGTGTTCATATCCCTTCTTACTCTGTGACCTGGGCAAACTATGTCTCTGTAAGATGGGATTCCTGGTAATACTTAAGGTAGGGTGAAGCAATTCCTGTGGGGCACAGTATTGGGCACTTTGCACTCGAATGTTAGCAAGTATTGTGTGCCAGACCTATGTTAGGCATTAATTCACTCAAATGTTTAATAAGTGCTTACAATGTCTTAGGCTCTGGAGTAAAGCAGTGAGTCAAAACTCCCTGATCTCGTGGAACAGTGTGGTAGGAGAGATGGACAATAAATAAGTAAATAAATTATTTAATTTCAGATAGTAATAATACAAGGTAAGACAAATTTAGGGGAGAGGGTGGGACCTCTTGGTTGGAGGGGGACCGTTTGGATGGAGTAGTCAGAAGCAGATTACAGTTGAGCTGAGACCTGAATAAGGAGCCAGTTGTGTGGAGATCTGGAAAAAGCAGAACAGAGGTAGGTGTCTGCGTGCGGAATTGTTTGGTGGAGGTGTTGGTTTGGGAGTCATGAGGATGTGGATGGTGTGTAAAGCTGTGAGACTGGATGAAGTCACCTAAGGAGAAAGAATAAAGAGAAGAGGACTGAGCCTTGGGGCCCAGCAGCTTTTAGAATTCAGGAAGAAGAGATAAGAAAAAATGAATCTGACATAGTCCCTGTTCTTAAGAAGCTCACAGAATCATGGAGCAGCAGACTTAGAATCTCTTACCCATGTTTTATGGGAGCTGAAGGGCACCGCGCTGTTCGGGAGGCCTTCTTAAGGACAGAGGCACCTGGGCTGAGTCCTGGAGGCAAGGTAGGAGTTAACCAGTGGGCGGTGTGGGGGAAGGGAGAAGAGTATTTCAGACAGATAGTACCATGTGAACAGAGACCTGCAAAAGCACAGGACATTCCAGGAAGCACAAACAGTTCTGTTTCTAAGGTATGAGTGAGTCAGGGTGTGGTGAGAGCTGAGACAGGTGGGGTCGGGCCAGATCACGGGGGCTTCCTACAGCCTAGGAAGGAGTCTAGCCTGAGGTGTTGTAAACAGTGGAGTGACATGGTCAGATGTGAGTTTCAGGCAGCTCACAACATGTTTGAGGGAACAAGACCAGATCGAGGGGACAAGAGAAGGGTGAGAGCGGAAGCAGGGCTAGGGTCGTAGAGGGAATGGAGCTGCTTGGAGCAGCATTTCATGAACTGTTTATGAGGCATGTGAGATGCTAACAGGTGTGGCATCAAAATGCTAAAATAAGTTTGGGAAAGAGCATGTTATGTCACCTCTTGCACATCTAGAATACAGTATCCAAATAGTAATGGCTGAAAAGTCATGTGGTAAAGACCTTTTTTAAAAATTAATAGACTTGATTTATTAGAGCAGTTTTAGGTTCACAACAAAATTGAGTAGAAAGTACAGAGAGTTCCTGTATACCCCCTGTCCCCTACCCAACCTCCTCCACTTTTGACATCCTGCACCAGAGTGGTACATTTGTTACAATCAATGAACTTGCACTGATACATCATTATCATCCGAAATCCATAATTTACATTAGAATTCATCTTGGTGTTGTATATTCTACGGGTTTTGATATGTGTATAATGACATACATTCATCATTATAGTATCATACAGAATAGTTTCATTGTCTTGAAAATCCTGTGTTCTGCCTGTCCATCCCTCCCTCCCCCATAACTTCTGGAAACCACTGAAATATTTTTTTCCACTGGCTCCATAATTTTGCCTTTCCCAGAATGTTGTATAGTTGGACTCAGACAGTATATAGCTTTTTCAGATTGGCTTTCTTTCACTTAGTAATATGCATTTAAGTTTCCTCCATGTCTTTTCATGGCTTGATAGCTCATGTCTTTTTAGTGCTGAATAACATTTCAGTATCTGAATGTACCACAGTTTATTTTATCTGTTCACTTACTGAAGGACATCTTGGTTGCTTCCAACTTTTGGCAATTATAAATAAAGTTGCTATAAACATCTGTGTGCAGGTTTTTGTGTAAGCGTAAGTTTCCAGTTCATTTGGGTAAATATCAGGCGGCATGATTACTGGATCATATGATAAGAGTCTATTTAGTTTTGTAAGAAATTGCCAGCTGTCTTCCAAAGTGGCTAAACCACTCTGCATTCCTGCCAGCAATGAATGAGAGTTCCTGTTGATCCATATCCTAGCTACCATTTGATGTTGTCAGTGTTTCTGGACTTAGGCCATTTTAGTAGGTGTGTAGTGGTACCTCGTTTTAATTTGCAATTACCTAACACATAATGTTGAATATCTTTTCATACGTTTGTTTGCCATCTGTATACCTTCTTTGGTGAGGTGTCTGTTTAGGTCTTTTGCCCATTCTTAAAATCAGGTTGTTTGTTTATTCTTATTGTTGAGTTTTAAGAGTTCTTTGTGTATTTTGGATAACAGTCCTTTATCATATGTGTCTTCTGCAAACATTTTCTCCTTGTCTTGCAGCTTGTCTTATTCACTTTTTTTTTTCATGGTTTTCTAGCATTTACCAATACTCATTTTTCCATGGAATCTGTTTTTCTAAAATATCTAGTAACCATAGAATACCAGTTAGGGAAAACAATCAGAAAAAATAGGAGGTAGGATTGGGAGGTCTACATGATGGATGAGATGTGGGATGGAGGGAGAGGGAGGAGTCAAAGAAATATCCCTCATTTTAAGCTTGTGTGAGAGAGAATTTATAGGAGGAAGAGAAATTGGCTTTTCCCTTTTGGAGGGGAGATATGGCTAATTAGGAGTCTGGTTTTAAGCATGATGAATTTGCAATGTCTGATATATCCAGTTCAAGGTGACCAACCAGAAATGGATTTAAGAGTCTGAGGTTAGAGAAAGAGGCCAGGGTAGAGAAATGAATTTGGGAGTCAGCCCCATAGAGGTGGTAGTTAATGCATGGAGTGGATCACATAAGGTAGATTTTCAAAATAAGAGCAGTGGTCTGGAGACAGAACCTTGGGGAAAATACTTATTTTTAATAGGGGATAGTAGGGGGTCCAAGAAGGAGAGAAGGTGGGAGGTGGTGAGGAGGAATAGTCAGAGATGGAAAGCAAAAGAAAACAAACAAAAAACTCCAGGAAAGTGCAGTGTCAAGGAACTCTAGGAATTAGAACATCAAGAAGGAGGGATGGTCACAAATGCCAAATCGGCAGGAAAATCCAGTGACAGATGAATTTATAAAAAGACTTTTGAATTCAACATTTGGAAACATCTGCAAAAGCAGTTTTAGTGGAATGATGGGGCCAGAAGCCAGATTATGCTGGGTTGAGGAGAGAATTGAAGAAGTTGAAAAAGTAGAGAAACAGGCTCTATTAACTTAAATATACATGGTAAGATTTTAAGACTATTCTGCTCTTAAGAATATCGATTGTATAAATTACAAACCAATGAAGAAGAGAACCTTGGAATAAGAAACTGCAAGTGAGTAAAAATATCAATCATCTCCCCCAAGAAAAAAATCAAGGTAGGAACAAAAAACAAGCATAGAAAAGTGGGGCAAAATAGATTTTAAAAGTAATGTTTGAAACAAGTCAAAAACATAAAAATACAATAAATAGAAATGGAACAAATACAGTTAAAATATTGAGATTGCCAGGTTGGATTTTTAAAATACATTCCTACGTGCGTCTTCAGACCTTTCTTCTAATCACTTAACTTCAAATGCAGTATATCCTGTGGAAGTTCCTTTAGTGAAGGTCTCTTTGAATCTTGCCTGAAGCATAAAGATAGGAAAATGTTTAAAGTAAAAGAACAGAAAAAGAAATACCAGTCCACTACTAATTAAAAGTAAGCAGAGATCACTATATTCACAAAATAGTCTTTGAAATAGAAAGCATTGTTAGAAACAGAAAGGATTTCTGTGTAATAATAAAAGGTTCAATTCACAAGGAATAGATAACAATTCTAAACCAGTACGCATTTTTTAAAGTCTCAAAATCAATAAAAATTGATAGAATTTGAGAGAAAAAGACAATTCACCATCAGTGCATTAAAAAAAAATCTCCACCAGGTTTCTTTTGTGGAAGCTAACCACCTGATTCTAAAATTTATATGAAAATGCAAAGGATCTAGAATAACCATGGAAAAAGAAAGAACAAATTTGGAAGGATTAACTTACCAGATTTTAACATTTGTTATGAACTAGAGTAATTAAGACAGTGTGGAATTGATGCAAGATAGACATATAGACCAATGGAATAGAATGCGGAACCCAGAAACAGCCCCGCACATTGATGAAAATGCAGAGCCTAGGATTAAAGGGAGTTTTTAAAATAAAAGAGTGCTGGGACATAGGCTATACATATACAAAAAAAAAGTGAAATTGACCCCTTCCCTCACACTATAACAGAAGTGAATTCTAGACAGATTGTAAATCTAAATGTGAAGTGCAAAATTATAAATCTTCTAAAAGATATGAAGGAATCCCTTACTGACTGTGGTGAAGGGAAAGCTGAGTTTGAAAGCACTGATCATAAAAAGAAAG